AATGAATTTTTCAGCTCCAGAATTTCTGTTTGTTTTTTTTTAAAGCTATCTATCTACTTGGTAAATTTCTCATTTTTATCCTGAATTAATTTTCTGATTTCTTTGCAATTTTTTTTCCAGATTCCTCTGGCATCTCATTGAGCTTCTTTAGAATCAATATTTGGAATTCTTTTTCTGACATTCTTTGGAATTCTTTTCAATTGATATCCATTGCTTGACAATTGTTGTAGTCCCCTGGTGGTGTCTTATTTCCTTGATTTTTTACATTTCCTATGTCCTTCCATTGATATCTGATGTAGCAGTCACTTGTTCTAACTTTTGGAAATTGCTTTTGAAGGGGAAAATATTTTCCTGAAGTTATACATGTGTTTTTGGTTGATTAGGATACTTTGGCTTTGATTTTGGATGCTTACAGTAGTGTGATCTTTGTATGATTCTTAGACAATACACAGGGTCTGTGATATCTGTGATTTTCTTGGTGGCTTACGGAATGATTATTAGTTGAGGCTGTGGTCAAGTTTTGCTGGGGACTTGAATGCCAGCTGAGCCAGTCTTTAGGCCCCAGTGGTGGAAGCAGTGGGCTGAATATGACTGCTTTTAGGTTTCAGAGCAGCTTACACTGGCAGCAGTGCTGCTGTGTCCTGGGAGATCGATTCTTCGGCCTTTGGGTGGCTTGCTCAAAATGGTCATTGGAGCAGAGGGCCAGGTATGTAGATGTGTTCTCAGGCACTTAAGCAGCTGTTGCGATGTGGGAGGTAGTAATAGTAGTGGTGGAGATACCCAGTAAGACCCAAATTGTCCATGTTAGTGTTACTGGTAGCTGCAATGGATTGAGCAAACAAGTTCCCAGTCCTATAACTGCCGGTAACAAGATGGTGGGCATTGTCCCAAGTGTGCTTAGGAGAGCTTTGACTCCCTTTCCCTTCCTGGTCAGGTGGTGGCTGCAGCCAAATTTCCTTGAACTCAGCCTGAGAGTAGGGCATAGCCCAGTATTAAATCTCAAAATGGTACTAGCTATGGGCTTGCAATCAAAGAGGGGAGAGTCCCTTTCAGGTGTGTGGCATGGGGAAGAAACTGTGGAGAGTGCAGTCTGCTCACATCTTGATCTCACTGCAGCCCATAGCGGGGTGGTAGGAATTATTTTCAGAGTTCATAGGAGATCTTGGACACCACTATCATTCCTCAGCTGGGTAGGGCTGCAGCTGTATCACCCAGAACTCAGCCTGAAGATAGGGTTTTGCCCAGCTTTATACTCTCAAAAGTGACCAGAGAAGGTTGATGCCCTTCTAGGCAAATAGCGTGGGCAAGATTCTGGGGTGAATGATGTCTAGTCGAGACTTGGTCTCACAGCAGGAACATGCAGCTTTTCATCCCAGATGCTTGCTGGATAGCCTGGTTTCCCTGCCCCTCCCCAGCCTGGCAGGAACTACAGCCATGTCAGCCCAAACTCAGCCTGAGTTCAGGGTGCAGCACAGTATCAAAATGGAACCTTGGGCCTGTGACCAGAAAATCTGGGCTCCACCTAGGCAGGCAATATGGATGAGAAATTGGAAAATACTGTCTTCTCCTGTCTTAGTCTCAACAGCAGCCCCCAACAGGGTGGTAGTACCTTCCCAGGGGTACATAGAAGTGCCTAGGCTCCTCTATTCCTCCTCAGAGCCACACAATGGCTGCAGGTATGCCTGCAGTTTCCTGGTATATAGGCTCTCAGAATGGTACCTGGTACAAGTTGCTCTAGGTCAGATGCCTGTGGGATTCCTCATGGGTTCCCTTTTTGGAGCAATGTGTCTGTGCAATCTCTAGGCAATTCCCTAGGCCCAAGACCTGCATGGGTCAGGGGGTTCTCTTGTAGTCAAGAGTGTAAAAGCTCATCTCAGAGTGTGAAGCCCTGGGGACTTTACTCTTAACTGTTTCCCCATGTCCAATTCTTAAGCTGGCTGGGCAAGTTGCCCTGAAACCTCTCTTTACCCACATTTGGTGCTTTCTGTCACTTCCTTTGTGAATCCCAGCATCCTCTCCTAGGCAGTTTATTCAAAATGTGAGTATCTGCTTACTATTCTGGTTCCTCTCCATGGAGGAGACACATACTACCTGTGTTTAGTTGGCCTTCTTGATTCTATCAGGTTAAGGCTTTTATAACATTGAATTTAATGGACAAAACCTCATTTATAAATATAAAATATCAAAAATTCATTCAAAAATTATCGTAGTCCTTTCACTTTATTTAATTTTAATTGAAACTTAAAAATACTATCAATTTTGGCTATTTTCAAAGAAATCAGGATATTTGGAAATAAAAATATTTCACCTTATGTGGTTTTGTGGCCTTTACAGGACTGTACACGGAAAACTTAGGACTGTGATTGTAACTAATTTTACATTTATAATGAAATACTTTGCACTGTTAAGTATCTAATGCTCTTTTAATATAATGTCTAGTATTTGAAGAAAAAGTAGGCAAATACTCATGTATTTGAATGAATTGTATATTTCAAATTACTCAATAAACCTAAATGTAGGACCTGATCTTCCTATTCTCGTTTTAGTGTTTTTAACAATGCAAATGTTCGTCAGATGACTTTCTTTGTTTCAAATAGGGTATCATTATTTCCTGGAGGGTTTCCCAGATGCACTACTATGTGGAAATAGCTCTGATGCAGGGTAAGCCAATAATTCGTTCATGTTTGTGTATGTGGGTGTGTACAAGCACATATATACATATTTTTCTCTCTTTTTGTAGAAACTAAAGATAACAATCAACTAATTTTATTCATATTAATTTGCTACACTTAAGGTTTTTGATAAAGTGTGAGATTATTTAAATATTAAGTAAGCTTTTAGGTTTTGTAAAACAAGAAGCAATAATTGTAATTATAATGCTGTTTCCCTTAGATACATATATTGAACTATGAATCAACTCTGGAGACTTCATAGTAGTGAAATTGAAATGGAGATGCTAAAACGGCAATTATCAAGAGAAAATAGTTTTGCAAAATACTATTAGAAATGCTGTACCATATTTTAATGATGACACCCAGTGGCTAATAAAACTATATTAAATCAAAAGTTGGGAAATGTATCAGTTATTTATTTATCATACTTTTATCCTTGAAATAGCAAATCTTCTGTTTGCTAGACAATGTTATAAGTGTAGCGTGCTACCAGATTAAAAAGACAACGGAATATCTTATAATACTTTCTTTTGCCCCATTTATAGCCAATGTCCAGAAGGATATATGTGTGTGAAAGCTGGTAGAAATCCCAATTATGGCTACACAAGCTTTGATACCTTCAGTTGGGCTTTTTTGTCCCTGTTTCGACTAATGACTCAGGACTTCTGGGAAAATCTTTATCAACTGGTGAGAACCTAAAAAGACACATTCTGCATTTAAGTAGAAGTATACAAGAAAAGCAATCAAGTTATGAAATCCAAACCACAGCACAATGTAGTGGAAAGAGCAGAACTTGAAATCAGGAGACTTGGGTTCTTCTATCCCATTAACTATAACACATATTGAACAGAGTGATGCCCAGGATAGGAATTCTCTCCCGTTTCCTCTTGGCTCAAAACCTATTTCCTGTTCTTCTTAGGCACAGATTCTCCTAAACAGAAGTCACATTCTCCCCTCAGCCCAATCTACCTATTCAAATATTATCCCTCAGGTGGGAGGTGATAAATGAAAAAGCAGGCTGGGCATGGTGGCTCACGCCTGTAGTTCTAGCACTCTGGGAGGCCTAGACTGGAGGATGGCTTGAGCTCAAGAGTTTGAGACTAGCCTGTGCAAGAGTGAGACCCCGTCTCTACCAAAAAGAAAAAAAAAAATCATCTGGGCATGGTGGCGCATGCCTGTAGTCCCAGCTACTCCAGAGGCAGAGGCAGAAGGATTGCTTAAGCCCAGGCTTTTGAGGTTGCAATGAACTACAATGACACCATTGCACTCTACCCAGGGCAACAGAGTGAGACTCTGTCTCAACCAAATGAAAAAGAAAAGAAAAGGAAAAACAAAGAAAAGAAAAGAAAAAGTAGATTTAGAAAGCTAACTTCGATCTCTTCCTTAATTTTCAGCAAAGGCTCAGCTCTTTCCTGGGGGTCTCCATGGTATTTTATTGACTCTGTTTCATTCTTAGTGAATGTAAGAATTCCCTCCTGGAGATTAGAGAGAGTATGAATGCGTAAGTTAGGGGTGAAGGAAGAAGCTGAAGTTGAAAAAAAAAAAAAACAGTCAAAAAGGTAGGACATGCTGTGACCAACATAATTACTATTTGTATCAGAGTTCTGCAAGACACACAAGTAAGCTGAAAGTTGAAATCACCAGTTAGTGAAATAATATTGAAAAATCGTTCTCATATTCTTGTTTCCAGACATTGCGTGCTGCTGGAAAAACATACATGATATTTTTTGTGCTGGTCATTTTTTTGGGATCATTCTACCTAATAAATTTGATCCTGGCTGTGGTGGCCATGGCCTATGAGGAACAGAACCAGGCCACCTTGGAAGAGGCAGAACAGAAAGAGGCCGAATTTCAGCAGATGCTAGAACAGCTTAAAAAGCAACAGGAGGCAGCTCAGGTAAATTCATCAACTCAGATATACCCTTTTTTTATTGTTTTGATGGTTACAAAAATATTGGAGATAAAGTAAGAGATATAATTGTTTGATAGTGTCTAAAGGCAGCTGGTAGTATGAGGAATTAGTAAAGATTTCTGTATCGTGATCATCTACCTAGTTACATTTAGTTTAATTATTTTGTTTTATTATTCTAAGATGTTTATAGTACTAAACACAATAGAACTTTCGTGTTATTTTAATCATCTCAAGATTATCAGAATGAAAGGGAAGATGTGATTTTGGGGTCTTCTCAAGTAAGAAACTTTTACTGAACAAGTATATTGGCATTAGGAGAAAATCCTATGGAAGCCTTCTTTTCTTAAAAAAATTGGTTATTATATAAAAAGATGCTCATCTAGTTCTTAAAAATAGTCTTTTCTTTAACTAAAAATATGTTGGTTTTTAATGCAATTACTTAATTGCCTTTATAAGGAAGTGATCATATAATATAATGTTCTCTAATACAGCAGTATCCAATAGGCATATGAACATTATCAAACTTATGGAAATCAGGTAATTTAAGAAGGATTACTTGTTCTTATAGTGAAATGTCAGTGCTCATAGTACAGTAAATTGTAAAATGCCTCTTTTACCACTGTCATCTTTCTCTTTAACATACGACCTCCCTGTCTTTACTAAAGAAGAAAAGGGTTTCAGGAATATTAATTTATATGCAAGAATCCTGTTATTCTTGGAACAACAACAATAATCAAAAAGTGCCAACTTAGTACCAGTACAAGCTGTGATCAAAAAGCACTGTTTCTATTCCATGCCCCCATGGCCTGTAAGAATCAGTGCTGAGTTGAAGATGGTGAGGACAGTTTTAGGAGAATGAGACATCTTGTCTTGCTTAGCAGAAAACTACCGACCCTCCCTTCTCCATTCTTCTGGATAGCGTATTGTGGAGGAGTGAGAAAGGTACTTTATAACCATCCCTAAATTTGATTAATAGAATGTTGAGGCTCTTGGACAACCCAGTTTCAATAACTAGAGGGAGGACCTCAGATCTTTGCTTCATTCCTCTGCCTTTGGATGTGACCTCAAGTAACTCATCAGCTTTTCTTCCATGCTCCAGTTTCTTTTTCAGAGAAAAGAAGACATTAATGAAATACTAATTTTTAGAGTAATCCAAATCCCAAAATGTAATATGAATTTATGATCTTGTTGATACCTGATGGTTCTTTTTGAATATGTGGTCTGTGAAGCATAACAAAGACATAATCAATGTTACCACAGAGAAAAACAAATTATCTCTGAAAGTCTTCATTAGGTAGAAAGTAAAATAATTCCCTCTTACACTTGCAGAGAATCTTCTATGTGAGATCAGCTTTAGTCAGCTAAATGTATTTTTTCAATGCCATGCAAATACTTAAGCCATTTTAAAGAAGATAATCTTTTCTAGTGCCAGGCTAAAACTATTTCTTCTGTAGCAGGCAGCAACTGTAACTGCCTCGGAACATTCCAGAGAGCCCAGTGCGGCAGGCAGGCTCTCAGACAGCTCATCTGAAGCCTCCAAGTTGAGTTCCAAGAGTGCTAAAGAAAGAAGAAATCGGAGGAAGAAAAGAAAGCAGAAGGAGCAGTCTGGTGGCGAAGAGAAAGATGAGGATGAATTCCATAAATCCGAGTCTGAAGACAGCATCAGGAGGAAAGGGTTTCGCTTCTCCATTGAAGGAAACAGATTGACATATGAAAAGAGGTACTCTTCCCCACACCAGGTATGGCATTGCTGAGTTTACTCATGCATGGATGAAAAATGGAACATGAAGAGAGGGAGAGAATTAAAATGAGCTTAGGAATTTTCATCAATTGAATAGACTACTATTTTTGTTATATTTATTATTTCTCCACCTAATTATGTGAAAATTTTACTCCATATATATGTAAGTTTACAGCTTGAAGTAGTTGAGATAACACTGGGTTGAAAGTCAGAAGACCTGCATTTTCATTCTGATACTGTCTTCTGTAATTGTACCTAATAGCATTTACTCTTTCTTATCTTGAGCTCCTTTAACAACAACAAAAAATGGTAACTGTGGTCACCTGATCAGTAATATCCTTTTGGTTATTTTATGATTTTATGTTGTTTTTTCTCCTTAATTTCTTTATAAACTACATGCATGCTTCTGAAAATGTTAATGATGATACACTTTACTGAAAAACACATCACTATGAATTTTAGAAGTCTGAACTTCAATTTCCAACAACACTGAGCCTTATAGGTGAAACAGAAATAATAACTAAAGTGACTTTAGAAAGATGAGCTAAAATAATTTGTGAAAAGTGTGGAATTTTTTTTAAGAAAGAGTAATGAAAACGAATGTGGCCTTCTTAAGGCGATGCTGTCAATGTTCATTGGATGTTTACAATGTCCATTGTGATATATCAAGGATGTTTCCTTTTGAACTGAGAAATGGTAGTTTAGGGTTTTAATTTTTTGTTTGTTTGGTTTTTTTTGCAATATCTTTAGGTTGCAATTTATCTCCCCATTCTTTAATCTTAAAGGCTAGAAACCCACCTTTTATAAAACTATTTTAATTTAATCTGAATGTGCATAAAATGAGAATGTGAATCAAAAGGAATGAGCCCCATGCTGTTATGAATGCTGAAATCTCCTTCCACTTAATCTTGCAAAATGAAAGCATGTTTCAAAGGGCCATATTAATATGATTTTGCTTTTTTGTTTGTTTCAAACTCTTAGTCTTTGTTGAGCATCCGTGGCTCCCTATTTTCTCCAAGGCGAAATAGCAGAACAAGCCTTTTCAGCTTTAGAGGGCGAGCAAAGGATGTGGGGTCTGAGAACGACTTTGCTGATGATGAACACAGCACCTTTGAGGATAACGAGAGCCGGAGAGATTCTTTGTTTGTGCCCCGACGACATGGAGAGCGACGCAACAGTAACCTAAGTCAGACCAGTAGGTCGTCCCGGATGCTGGCAGTGTTTCCATCGAATGGGAAGATGCACAGCACTGTGGATTGCAATGGTGTGGTTTCCTTGGTTGGTGGACCTTCAGTTCCTACATCGCCTGTTGGACAGCTTCTGCCAGAGGTGATAATAGATAAGCCAGCTACTGATGACAATGTAAGGAAGTTTTAAATAGTTCAGGCATGGCTGGCCCATTACTGCTGCACCAGCCAGTGTTTCTACAGAACGGCAACCTTGAGAATGATTCCTGGTTGGTCAAGCTGCGAATGCACTTGCATCTTGTAGTATCTTGAATAGACTAACCAACTAAAACTTAAGACCTCAACACTTTCCTTCACAAACCTGAATGCATTTACTTATTAAGTGTGCTAGCAATTAATTAGACACAATAATTACTGCCTCTAGTTGGAGGATTTGCTATATACCCATGCTGAATTTAGATAGCAGGGCATCCTCTAAGGCTCTGGTATAAAAGTATAGGAATGATCCTTGTGTTTAAGTGTAAAGGGTGTATAATAAATCTTCCAATATATTATTCAATATATCTCTGCTTTAGTTTAGATTTTCAAAAACACTGTGCTTAAATAGATAGCTTCATTATTTCCTTAAAATTTCTAGTACTCACATTAGTCTTACTAAAAAAAATGCTGATATAGGTCTTCTTAAAACTAATCTAAATAAAGAAACACAAATTATTAATACAGACAGATAAAATAATTGTCTGTATACAAAATTGTTATGTGTTTGTGAATATATACCTAGAAGAGGAATTTCAAAACAGATGCTGCCTCTTTTTAGACTGTTCACTCATTTGGAAATATATCAGCATGAAGAGGCATGACTAAGTCAGAATTAGATGACTTATTGCTTTGGTACCCTGGATGAAACTGTTGTCCATGCAGCATGTGTGTGTTTTTTTTTAACATATGGTTTGTGTTGTCAATGACCATCCACGTCTTGTGTCCAGAAAATGAGATGGCAGCTAAGTGTGTTGTAATCATTGGTATTTCCTTAAAAACAAATGGCTACCTTCTCAAAAATCAAATGCTTTGATCACTTTTATGACTTTTAAGTTACTAGGCTTTTACTATTAGTCCAGAAATAAGAGTAACTGTTAAATATATTTCTCAAGGGATTTATCAACTCAATCAAAATATATCTTATTTCATAAAATTATGAAATCAGAGTTTAAAAATCTTGGTTTTTGCTGTATGACTAAATGGTTAACAGTTTGGACAGTCCAGGTTAATGACACAATAAGTCAGTAATATCTGCCATCACCAATTAAATAAGTGCATGATGCATGCATTTCATGAAATTTACTGTGTCACCATTTGGTTGTTTGCTTATCATATTGCTTAAGTTAATCATTTAATGCATTAGCATTTTCTTTACAGGGAACTACCACTGAAACTGAAATGAGAAAGAGAAGGTCAAGTTCTTTCCAAGTTTCCATGGACTTTCTAGAAGATCCTTCCCAAAGGCAAAGAGCAATGAGTATAGCCAGCATCCTAACAAATACAGTAGAAGGTTTGTAACAAATTCCATTTCCATTTCAATTATTTTCACTACACTTATGTTGCCTTATTTGAAAAAAAAAATCTCTATTTGTGAGTTGGGAACAGTGCATTCTCGTGAGAAAACAGTAGGTCTTATTCAAAAGTTATTTATTATATGTACACATATGTTCTAGAAGTTTTAAAATGTATTTAAATTTAATGATATTAGAACTAAGAATGTTTTCCTAACTATGTGGCAACTCTTTGAAAATGCATACTAAAACATTTACATTGGGAATTTATAATCTCATTAGCCATAGTGAGCCTCTCTTTGTTCCACTTAGCTTAGGACTTCATCAGCACTACCGCTTCCAGCCTCATTCTAAATACTCTCAAGATTGGAGAGGAGTAGGAGGTCATTTCCACAAAATAAAAACAAATTAAAAACATGTCTTTTTCATATAATGATTCTTATGTCACATCAATCCCTACCTTAACTCTTATAACCAGAGGTTGATAATGTAGCCAGTCATTAACACAAGGTTACACACAGCATCTACACTACCCCAAACCATGTTCCTATTGAGACTTCATTTAAAAGTCCACTCACTTAGCTTGAGTCCAAGTGCTGAGCCACAGTGTCAGTACATAAGAGAAAAAGCTATCCTTTGCTACCTCTGCTCTGTGTGTATGTCTAATGAAATATCATTGGGAGTCTTAGAATAAATTCTGTATTTTTTTTTTTTTGACAAATACAAAAAAGGTTGACTCTGTTGCAAATAAAAATGTGCTGATTACCAAAAATATATCTAGTGGATCTGAAATAAATATACATGTAAAAAATATTTTTTGGTGGTTGTTCTCATTGTTTTAAATCTAGAACTTGAAGAGTCCAGACAGAAATGCCCACCCTGTTGGTATAAATTTTCCAACATATTCTTAATCTGGGACTGTTCTCCATATTGGTTAAAAGTGAAACATATTGTCAACCTGGTCGTGATGGACCCCTTTGTGGACCTGGCCATCACCATCTGCATTGTCTTAAATACTCTTTTCATGGCCATGGAGCACTATCCCATGACGGAACATTTCAATCATGTGCTTACAGTAGGAAACTTGGTAAGCATATTGGAAGGTAAATGTGTTCAGTCTTCAAATTTTCTGTTTGAGAAATGTTTACAATAGCTTTTGGCAGTATTTCAACTACCCTTCCTGCCTCCTGACCCCCACTCCCAAAATGGGGATTATTTCGAGTTGGCTATACCCTACTTTTTACCAAAAATAATGACCTTAATGTCTGTGTGAAAACTGAGAAGGAAAACAGCAGGCATGGGCCTGCAGTACTACTTGAAAAGTGAATAGTGATATTTCAACTTTGTCAAGATGCAGAAGTAGCACATAGTTTAAAAACACACTTTCTGAAATGATATTATTACATTTTTACTTGCTATACAAGGGTAAAATAAAATTTTGGATCCTTTTATCCTCCTTAGTCATCATCGTTGCAAGAAATAATTTAACAAATCAAAAATGTCTCCAAGTTTTCTGCTTCCAGGATCTAGGTAGTATATGTATTGTTTTGTCCATCTATTCTATATCAAAACTATGAAATATTAAAAACCTCTAGTATATTTTGTGTATTATATGATTAGCAAGGCCATTTTTGGTGAAGGTTGCCACCTAATTCTTGCTTTGATGTGCTTAAAAAACATAACTTATTAAAATGTTTACCAGTTGATTCAATTTAGGAATATTAGCTTTTATTTGCTGCAAGAAAGAGCTATCTAAAGTAATGTATGCTTTTTCCACAATATTTGGTTTGAGGTTTAGAATTTTTGATGATATAAAGCAAAAACATGTATAACATCCTGCAGTGTATTACTTATACTTTTAAAGCTCTGCTACTTATACTATGGAAATAAATTTATTTTTTTGTGCATGAAAGATAATGACAATAGTAATACACATATTATAATAGTAGGTAAGCATGTATAATAACTCCATCTGATTTAAGGGAAATGGGACTAAGCTTATAGACAAATAAAACTGTTAATGAACAAAATCTTGCCAGTACTTGTGGTGTATGAAGTCTAGAGGAAAAGGCAGTTTGCTGTAATGGGAAGAACACTTAAAAAAAGATTTGCACTCAAATCCTAGTTTGCATTTTCTAGTTATATGATATTAATAGAGTTACTTTGCCTATCTGAAGACCTTAGTTTCTTCATCTATAAAGTGACAACTATAATACCTGCATTATTCACTTATTAGAGTTTCTATGAGAATAAAATGAAATAATGTACATGAAAATCTTTCATCAACTGTAAATTACTATATAAATTTAAGTTAGTAATAGAATCATGGGGAAAGTAGCATAAGCATTATGTTCTAAGAGCCCAAATTATGCCATGGACTTTATCATTATCTGATGGAAATAGAATCATTTTGTTGTGATCTTAGGTTTTCACTGGGATCTTTACAGCAGAAATGTTTCTGAAAATTATTGCCATGGATCCTTACTATTATTTCCAAGAAGGCTGGAATATCTTTGATGGTTTTATTGTGACGCTTAGCCTGGTAGAACTTGGACTCGCCAATGTGGAAGGATTATCAGTTCTTCGTTCATTCCGATTGGTAAACAACAAAACAAAAGAGTAACAAGCACAAAAGCCTTTCCTATAATCAACGTTCTTGTATAATACTGTCATAGATTTTACCACACAACCATTACCATTTTAAGTTTTTGTATAACATTTGCATTGTCAAAAACGGCTCCTAAATGGGAAAAAAATTATTGCCACTTAGTTACCAAAACCTTTATTCCAAAGAGCATAATCATGTAAAGCTTAATATATTACTCAATTGCTATTCTCACTAATTATTGTTTCTAGAGGCCGTTACAATTAATATTTCCAGATCTAAGGAAATTTTTTAATGAAGATGCATCACCTTTTAACTTAAAAATATCTCTTTGTAGCAGTGGATGACAATCAGATACAAAATGTGCATGCAGAAACTTTTCCTAATTTTATCTCTGGAAAATATGCACCTTCTAAAAATTAAAGAACAAAAAATTTGTATGATTACTAAATAGTCCATTAATTCCCTTATATACTCTTGCAAATCAGGGAAATGATTTTAGAGTCGTGGGAAATATCCCAAATTTTTCAATGCTATATCATTGCCCCAAAGGAGCATTAATGAATAATAAACATTTTTCTCTACTTATATCAGGGCTCAAGATGATGTTACTTTGTACTCTATTGACAAATGAAAATCTTTCAGCAGAGATCATTCAGATTCAGATGTTAATATTTTAATGTCAGGCATGGTATGTCTTAGAACCACGTTTATAAAACAAATTAAGAACTACTGGGCCCCAAGTAATCATTAACAATTCACTCTCAGATAAAATGATCTAAATGGTTAAAATATGGAAAAAACAAATTCTTCCTAGGAGGTCCAAAAATTAGCGATGAGCCTGAGAGGTTTAGGGTAGGGCAGATGTAAGAGAATCAATTTTGATTATCATTCTTGGTAAATCTCAATATATGTAATGCTTTTAAAGATCATAATAATATATATTAATTTTTTATTTTCCAGCTCCGAGTTTTCAAGTTGGCAAAATCTTGGCCGACATTAAATATGCTGATAAAAATCATCGGCAATTCAGTGGGGGCTCTGGGAAATCTAACCCTGGTCTTGGCCATCATCGTCTTCATTTTTGCTGTGGTCGGCATGCAGCTCTTCGGTAAAAGCTACAAAGATTGTGTCTGCAAGATCTCCAGTGACTGTGAACTTCCACGCTGGCACATGAATGACTTTTTCCACTCCTTCCTGATTGTGTTCCGCGTGCTGTGTGGAGAGTGGATAGAGACCATGTGGGACTGTATGGAGGTCGCTGGTCAAGCCATGTGCCTTACTGTCTTCATGATGGTCATGGTCATTGGAAACCTAGTGGTAGGTACCCAATTAAGATATATATTTCAGAATACTAAGAGCATAATAGAATGGTGACCATTTTGTTTTAAAAAAAAAAATAAACCCCTGCATGCTTATTCGTTTAAAAAGTCTCATATGCTTATGTTTTCACTTAGACAACACGGCAATATAACAGTGACCCTACAAAATTTAAACCCAATTCCATTGTGTCAATTATTTCATCACATTTAATTTGTGAATTGCAATATTGAAGACAGGCCTAAAAGAATATGCTGGGAACATTTTATGAATTCAGAACCAAGGAAGAGAGAAGTCTAAAGAAAAGAGAGAGAGAGAGAGAGAAAGCCCAACATTACCTTCCAGTATAGGACTACAAAGTGGTGCCTTTGAGTATCCATAATGATTATGCCATTTCCTTGCCCTTTTGTGGCATATATCATGTGGTCACCCTATGTCATATGGCAGGTGCATTATTCAATCTGAACTGGTTAGTTCTCTAGTGCCTCCAAGTCATAACAAAGCATGGCTAACAATGCCTGAGATTATACTAATGGAATAACTGATCAATCCTTCTCTCTCTCAAATTTGGAGTGTTACTGTTTATAGTGTAGAAATATACAATATATTCCAAAAGGTGTGGACATTAATGGGCCAGTCTTGTGGAAATATTAGGAATTATTCAAAAACAGTTCTAATTTGTCACAATGGGGTATGAGAAGTACAGTAAGTTAAGAAAACTAGTGTCAATGCCTATGTTAAACCCTTAATCTTCATTCTGAGTCATAATGGTTATTTTTCAATTAACTTCCAATTCAATATCTTTGTTTATCAAAAAGGAAACTATAGAATACATTTAAATGCATAATTGCAAATATTAATGATTTTTAAGTTTAGCATTCTTGTATAGTCCATATACAAACCTTTCTTCTACTCATACAATTTTAAACTTAGCAAAACCATAGGTCAGCTCATTCAACTTATTCATTTTACAAATAAGAGAACTTGAGAGCAGTAGAAATCATCTTTTTGCCAAAGAATGTATAGGTAAGTAGCTATTGACCCAGGCCACAAATTCACATCACCCAACTTCTCATCACTATGCTGTTGTGTTTCTTTCTCATCTAGTTTTAGAATTTACAGGCCAGGAATGGTGACTCATGCCTGTAATTCTAACACTCTGGGAGGCCAAGGAGGGAAGATCGCTTGAGCTCAGGAGTTTGAGATCAGCCTGAGTAAGAACAAGACCCTGTCTCTACCAAAAATAGAAGAAATTAGCCAGACATGGTGGCGCATGCCTGTAGTCTCAGCTACTCTGAGCCTGAGGCAGGAGGATCTCTTCAGCCCAGGAGTTTGAGGTTGCAATGAACCATAATCATCATGCTCCTGCACTTGAGCAAGGGTGATAGAGTGAGACTTTGTCTCAGAAAAAATAAAAAGGAAGAATTTATAGCTTCCTCCACACTTAGAGGAATAAGTGATCATAATCTGTGCTTCTTTACATTGGGGCAAAATTATAATCATGTTTTTATTGTTTTTAAGGTCCTGAACCTCTTTCTGGCCTTGCTTCTGAGCTCATTTAGTGCAGACAACCTTGCAGCCACTGA